AAGAATTTTGCTTTTTCTTTTTGAGTTAAATGAACACTTCACAGAAATCATGCAAGAAATAATCTAGCGAGTGTGCAAGCTATAAAACGATAACAAATCGTTCAGTAGAGTGTAGTCTTTTTTTTTTTTTTTTTTTAAATTACATCTCCATGTTTTTCCTTTTTATTCCAATCAAGTTAATCTTTCTGGGGAACGAAACTTTTGTTTGGAAAAGTTGGATGAGCGCTTTTATCCTTGTCTATTACTAAATTCTGTGATTTATAAATGATCCATATGTTGTAATCAAATTGTATAAAACAGCATATTTATGTTTTGCCGCCATCAATTAACGAAGGATGAAGGAAAGGGAGCATTTAGCTCTTGCACTGTACGATGTTAAACGATTTCAGTATTTTAATATAGCAGCAACATTACTTGTACATTTCCTATATATTTCTTTTTGTACTTATTGCGCAATGTGTCACATAGCAAATGGATAATGACGAAATCAAACAATTTCGAACTACTTTTGTTGAACAATAGCAAAATAGATCACTGATAGCATGTTATAAAGATAATGAAATAATTGGTAATGATAAATAGCAAACAATTTTGTGAAATCTCCCACCATTAATGTATTGCAATCATCCTTTTTACAAATTAATGTATTGCAATCATCCTTTTTACCTTATTTATTGCAGTTTAAAATATGCTAATTCATTCGCATTTCATGGAACTCACAAATAGCGGGAAAAATCCTATTGAATAATCTTATTTAAAGTTCAATTAGGCAAATTAAACCTGAGAATTCGATTCAGCTATTAGAACTGTTAAACGATGGTAATCTGATTTCTGCAGCATATGAACTTTCTGCGCCAGGTGTCTTGTATTTTTTACTTGTTAGCACACAGTAAATGAAATGAATTAAAGTTAACTATTAAAAGTGCAATCATTAAAAGTTCACTGCAATAAATGATGAGCAAAACTGATTTGCAATAAGCAGAATTGATTTCATGCGGAAACAAAGGCAGGTAATGTAAACCATATTGCAAACAAAAGACAAGCGGTAGAAGAAAAATTTACAAATTCAAAAATTGAAACAATTCAAAAGATAAAGTTGTGCCTCCATCGATAACTGCGACACAGTGTTGGTTCGGTGCCGGTCGTATATATGCAATTGCTGGGTTGCAAAAACTCGATTATGGGAATTGCTGGGTTACAGAAATTTTGTTATGGGAATTGCTGGGTTATAGAAATTCAATTATGGAAGAACTGCAACTCGCTGAAACTTCTCACTTCAGGTCTAGCAATAAGAGTGTGGAAGAAGTCACCATGTAAACTAATTTATAATGTTTCATGTTTGACCTATTGAGATAGCAATTTAAGAACATTTCGTGCGCAAAAGTATCAGTAAAACTAGTAATAGCTGAAAGGAAACATCGAAGGCGACGACAAGGAATTTGTTGGTTGATCATATTACTTGCTTTTGTATAACTCATTTGTCATCGCTTACCAGTTTATCGTATTATATATATATATATGTATATTTTAATATCTTTTTTTGTTGTTAATTACCAATATTGTGCAAAGGACGATATTACATCCCGAGTAAATCTATATCCCTAAGAAACGAGTTCAACAGATTGGCTTTTCCGACAGAAAGAGCAAAGGTCAAGAGTTAAGGAAAACGGGAAATACTTTAGCTGACTGAATAGGTTGTTTCGGGATTTTCACATATTTCTACAGGTTTTGGCGTAACGATTCTATTGGTAATGTTGCTGTTGTACAGAGCATTATGCTTTTATGCTTTACCTATTTGATGAAAAGATTTGTTAATTAGCTAGATAAATAACGGTATTCCTAATATTGCAGAGAATCAACCTTACTTGAGTTGTAATACAGGAAGAAGCTGTAATGACAATATTTTTTAATGACAATAACTAAAAAAATAAATGACAGTAATGACAATAACTTATTATCTCTTTCTAAGTGAGACGTAAAGTAAGTTTTTTTTTAAGTAAGTTCAGCTGAGGATTATGAATTACACTTGTCGGAAAAAACCGAAGGAAATTGTAATATGGCCAAACAGCTAAAGAATTTGTTGTAAAAAACTTCCGTGATAAAAGATTCATCACATTATACAAAAAATATATATAATGTTTTTTCTATATCTAAAGTAATGAGTCTGCTATCTAAACTCAATCGTGTAAAAATGTCCTTTCCTTTGATATTGAAATTACCCACATCCGCTAGCTAATTTCCATACAAACTATGAGAAAGCTGTACGTCTAGTAAGATGATTGCCAGCAATTTCCTCTTCATATAAAGAAGAAATCTAGTCTTTTATACAATTTTCTCTTGCACCAGGAAATTATTATCAGCTTTGTGAAGACCTTATATGAAGTTATTCCCTTGTCGTAAGCCCAACCCACTTATGGGCAATATAAAGGCGCCAAGAAGGAGATTCAATGCATTCTTAAAGAAAATCTTGCTTGAAGATCAAATCAGCGCCATCTTCGTCTTGCTCAACTCGACTATTGACTGTTCGTTTAAATTGACTGTACTCCGTATGCCATCTTCTAATTTCATTATCAAATACTAAGGTAATAAAATTTTCTAAAGTAATAAAATTTTTTGAAATTTCGATTCAGGAAAATTTAAATAAAAATTTTTTTAACAAGATAGTAATTGAAAAAAAAATGAAAATATTTCTCTATCAAATGTCTGAATGAAAAAACAAATGAGAAGTTAGCTATTCATTGTGGTGATCCTTTTTTACAACATTACTATCAAATATTTCATCATTTGCTTGTTCTAACTGAAAGCAATATTGTAACAGTATCATTCCAAACCGCAATGAACTGAATAATCATATCAGAACCTCAAACAATGAACAGACCAAATTATTATCGGAGAAAACAAAATGTTGATGATTGTTTGTTGTTTGTTCGAATTAAGGAGGTTAATTTTTCGATCGCTTATTTAATTAGTTACAAAGAAGAAAACGATATAAATGATTTTCGTTTCAGTTTTAAGTCATAAATTTTATTGATTGAACCATTCATTAAATCAATTTTAATTGAACAAAAAGGCATTTTGGACTGATGAGCATCATCGAAGGATAATATGGGAATCCTCTGCCATACGCTGACCCTCTAGCAATGAACCCAATAAAAGAGTCCCAAGTAAATCTGAGTTAGGAAATGCTTGGGAAGCTTGAAGAGTTTGAGGAGATTGTTTAGTTTGATTTCTTCGCCGATCACCAATAAAGACCATTTGTACTGCATCACCATTGAAGGCTACTGTCTTAAATTTAAAATAAACTCATACTGGAAAAGTCGATGGGAAAGCTGAAACAAGAAAATGATAATATAAATGATTTTTGTTTCAGTTCACAATCACAAATTTTCCAACTGCAAGAAATTCTTCGTCATTCTCAGCATTATTGTTGTTTCAATTTGTCTAACAAATATCGCCGCCACTCAGTAATAATAGAGATAAGGATAAGAATATAGAATACAAAAGTGATAACCACATAACAATGGAACGAAAATATAATGCAGCGATTCTGTATCGTAAGACATCAAATGTTACGAGAAATATTGCTGATAATTTACGAATGGAAGAAGGAATGATAGCTAGCCAAAATACTCCTCAATAAAGGCTAAATTTAGAATTAAACTTGGAAATTTGGGAATTGATTTATATAGCACGAATTGCATTTATCATAAATATGAATTCGAGTCCTTTCTATTTTATTGTTACTTTCGGGATAAAGTAAAAGGTTTTGGCAAGAGCGGCCATGTAGTAGCACTTATAGTGAGGATGCTTGGATATGTAAAGCAGAACATTACTAAACCAGCAATCGAAATCTCACAACCTATTTCAGAATAAAAATTATCACATCACAAATGCCAAAAGTGAAGGTCAAGTAGTAAGAATGCTAAAGATGAATCCGCTTGTATCGGATGTTGCTGATAAAGGGATAGAATCTAAGACGAATGCGGTCAAAGTTGTTAGACGATCGAATGTTGATGGTAAATCTGGGCATGAACCTTCGCCACCTCTGGAGAAATTATTGCAAGCGGGATCAACGGTAATTCCTCACCAGAAGGTGCTGTTTCATTTTCTGTTACAATTACTAGAAAATTGATTTTCTAAATCAATCCCAAAAAATATTTCGAAACATTTCTTAAGAAAAAAACCTAGTGTATCTAATATTTCTTAAAATCCAGCAATAATTTTGCTAATTAATTTTAAGAATTTGTGTCGCATGATACTATTTATAATATGTGGCAATCATATTTTTGTAGAAATTGAAACAGATGACAAATGAGAAACCAATTTCAAGTCAATCTGACTTTATGTGGAACAAGAAGGAAACTGATTGGAGACCGAATTAATCAATGTCACTGAGTTCGCTATTGCCTTCGAATGCATCTTATTTCCTTGTCGAACAACATAAATTACTGTTTGATCGTAAATTAATGGTAATTCAACTGAAGTTTCATAAAATACTTATCCTATATGCATTGAGCTTTCCTAATTTCGGATAATTTTCTAGTTTTTCTGGCAAACAGTAATTTTAAGTTAACATTGACAAAAATGTCCTCTCGTTGATGTTTTGACCTAACTGACTCAGATTAACTTACAGTCTAGTTTTCTTTCACTGCTTCATTGAACAGCTAATTCAATGAATTCAACAGTTTCTCAAATTTTTACAATTACAAAAAATCACAACATGAAAAGTGAACCTACCGGAAGCAGAAGGAAGATTCAGACAGATCAAGATCGATATCAAGAATCCTTCAAGAGTACATCATCTCAGACGATGACAACTGAACTTGTCACATTGCAACAAATTATCTCATCTTAACGTGAAATATGTTTTTTTCCTATTTAGTTAACTAAGAATTCAGTGTTAATTTCAATTCAGTGTTAATTTCAATTTTTTTTTGGGAATTGCAAAAACCGGAAATAACAGTAAACTATTGCTGAGGAATATTTCGATTGTGATAGCGAAGTTAGAAATTTCATCAATGCTATAATTTTATTCTTATGAATATTATAAATCAAAAAATATCACTAGAAATTTCTAGAAACTATCCGTTACGGAAAATTTTTAAAAATATCGATGGAAAATTTTTAGAAATATCGATTTTAGAAATCATCCATTATGGAAAACTACAAAAAACATCTATAGAAAAATCCAAGAAATATCTATGGGAAATTCCGGAAAGTATACATTACGGGATATTCCAGGAAATATCCATGGAAAATTCCAAAAAAAAGGAAAGAAACGAAAAAAACAGTTTAAATGAAAAAAGAAATATCTATTAAAACATATGAATTATTTTTGATGTTAACAAATTCATCTTTTGAATTTCAACATTTCAGGACGAAAATTATTGGACAAACAAAAGAAGGAAAAGAAAATATTAATAGAAATTTGTAATCAAATAAATGAATAAATGTATTTTATATGTACCAATGTTTCATATACTGTTGGTGTATGCAAAAAATGTGTACACTTCTTGCAAGATTAACATTCTGATACAGAAAGAGAATGTAATAATTGTCATCTTTTAATTTGAGTTGGAATATAATATAAAATCTTTTTTGTATGCAAATAAAATGCTAAGTGCAAAAGAGTTTCATACAGATTCATTTCTTCACAAAATCTTGTTTTATGTAATTTATTCTTAAAATTTTTTTTAATACTTGAGAGTGTCAAGTTGAACATGATAATTAGTAATTGAAATGAAAACATCCCGTTGTAATTCGAATAAATGGTATGCTTCAATAGTGCCAATCAGCGAAATGCAGGAATTCATGCGGTAATATTTTCGCTTTATCAACCTTAAAATATACTATCCTAAAGTAAATTTCAGTCCGGAATTCAAATGAATTTATAGCAATGAAGTAACAAAAAAATTATTCAAATGAGCCATGTAACAGTTTAGTTCATTTATCATTTTTTAATACTATAGTTCTATTTTATTTCATTTATAATTATAAAAGTTGCTGTCATAAAATAATTGAGAAATCGATAATCTGCTTATATTTTATAGATTTTAATATTAATTTAAAAAATCTACATTTTGTTTATGATTTATACATTTCTTGTCTATTATACATTTGCTTCTTTTATCAACAAAATTGATAAATATTTTCGAAAGAATAAACTATTT